AATTATTGGGATTTGAGGCAATAAATTGTGAATTTCATCAGTGATTAATTTAGAGAATATTTCATAAAACCCATTAAAATCAATTGAGTAAACGATTAATTTCCATTAAAGTTTAGCTTCTTATAAAGCAACATAATAATCTTATGACTTTTCGATATATTTAATGTCAAAAGTAAAATCAGGTAGATTAATTATACTAAAATTCTAATTTTTTATAAAAAAATGAATCTAATTCTTCTAATCTTGAACTTTAAATAAATTATTTGTTTTGAAAATTATTTAATTCAAACTTCTTTCAGTTCTAAAGCTTATGACTTTTGTTTAGAGTTCTTCACAACTTTCATTATCTTTCATTATACATTATAATAATTGTATTTGTAGATTGTCTTCTAATTGTGATAACCAGAGAAACAAATTATCCTAAATCAAAAATACTTTATTGGAATTATCTTAAAAAATTGATTGTTGGATTTGAAATAGAGTGTTATCTTCTAAGATTATGGCAGATACTTGATATATAGTTTTCAATGCTTCATTTTCATTTAATTTTTTCAACTGATAGTTTTTAATACACAAAAATGCTTCTTATTGACAATTTACGACTTCTTTTGTATAGAAAAAAGGATTTCTCAATTAAATTGTGGAATCTCCATAAATTGTTAAATTATTTATTGGACCTGAAAAATATTCTGAAATTTAAATAAGCAAATTTTAATTTTTTTTGAGTTTAACAGAAGTTGAATTCTTAATAGAAATTAAATTATAACACCTATTTTAAATAAAGACTTCTAAGGGGACTTTATCTATTTTATTAGAAGATGAAATCAATTAAGATTAATATGATGAAACTAAGGGTTGCCAGGGCAATATATTAGTTTCAATAAGTGCAGTTATATCGATCAAGTGATATTGCATTAAATAGCCGTTGTTAACATATACTAATTTATGTTCCATAATTTCAAAATAGGTTCCTTCAGTGCTTTTAATATCAATCAACTTGATTTTTTGATCTTTAAATCCAAATATTGCTATAAATGAAGATTAATTTTGTTTAACTAAAATGGCTAAATGTGAAGTTGTATATAATACTCTAATGGATTGTAGATTTCGTGTTCTTTAAGAGTATAATTATAGATCTAATGTAAAGAATATATATCAAAATTATAAAGAAGAATTGAATTAGTATGGTTTTGTACCGCCCAAATTTAAAATGCATATTTTAGCAAATTCTTGCAAGAAATGAAGACAACATCTGAAATATGAAAGCACGTTACATCTTCATTGGATTCAAAGGCAAAAATATTTGAATACTAAATTATTTTATAATTTCCAATTTCTAGATAATAAAGAATTTCTTCAGGCAAATAAAGATTTTCCGGAAGGTACTTCTTATTTATTAATAAGAAACGTGATTTGGAGATCAAAAGAGGATATTTTTCATTTTTTAAATATATCATTAATTATTAGTCTACTTTTTAGGCCTTAATTATTTCAACGTTCTAGTGTATACTAATAGAATTCATATTCCCTTAAATTGAATAAATCACTTTTAATTATTTATTAATTTTATCAATTAAATAATAGTCTTTCATATTTTCAAATACTTCATATTGATTCTTATTTATGCTCAGTTGTATCTTTTTAGTTGAGCAATTTTGGAAATATATTGTATTCTCAACTTGAAAAACTAAATAATTCAAAGATTTTATAGATAGTAATTAAATCTTGCCTTTAAACATATATCTTTTTAATTGTTCATAGCATAGGTTTTCTAATTTTTCTTCATTCCAGATACTAAGGTTAATTACATTATTCTGATTATCAAAAAAAGAAAAGTTTTGTTAGAAATATGATTAAAAGTCTTCATTACTAAACTTAATTTTCTGTTCCTCTTAGCAATCTTTGAGGATTAATATTTATTCTTTTACTGTATTTTTCTCTTCTAAATTATTTTCATATTACATTTTTAGACAACTTATTAATGATTACTTACCTGTGCTTTTGAAGCTCTAAATAATATATAGAAATTTTTATTTGGGTTCAATAATACTACTAAATGGAAAATATCTATAGAATTATAACAAATTATTAAGTTTGTCTATCTAATAAAATAAATTATCTTCTATTAGCAAAACCAATGATGAATTAAGAATTTAATGTTTTTGAGTTATATGTTGATCAATACTAATTATGAATTCTGTTTAATTTTATATAAAGAAGATTTGGGAAGAAAAATATAGTTGTTCTCCTTGAAAGGAGTAATTTAATACAATTTCTTTATAGAAGTATTAAATTAGTTAAGAATTATTTTCTTTTACATGTGTGACTAGCATAATATTATTGCAATTATTAAGCATTATCATTTTTAAGATTAGTTTTTCACTCCTAAATAATTAAGAAAAAAATCCATTGTTGCTCCGTCTAACTTGAAGGTAATTATTTCCTTCTATAAGATGTAGAAACCAGGTTGCGGAATCGCAAATTTATACATCATCAACTTTGGAAAATTCTTAAATAGAGGGAATATTTTCATTCATTTTAGATTGTAAAATAATTTTCATTTCCTTATTATTAATCTCAACAATAGTCCATTATGAACATTAGAAAAAACGCAATTATAAAATAATGTTTTTTTTATATTTTTTATTGTTTCATCTTG